TTTATTTTTAGTATGAAATCTTTAATCGACGTTTCGTTGCTTCCCGTTGTTCCGTTTTCTACACCACCCACACCATTGTTCCTTGCATAGTCCTGAGTCCACCCTTTTTCATCTTGTCTCCATTGCCACCGGCGTGTGAAGGGGTGAGGAAGATCAAGTTTCTAACGTTACGAAATCGAGCTCTCTGTTGTTTACCACTATGAACCGAGCTTGGTAAGTGTCTCAAAACCCCTTAAAAAGCATATATGAAATTTTCGCTATTTTTTTGACCCTGGATGGACCCTCACGTACCCCCATGCGCAGCAGCGGTGTATGGGGAAATTTCACTGCTTGGTGGGTTTCTAGAAACAGGCTGACCCGATCCAACCCGCATGTCTGACCCGAACCGAACCTATCAATTGTTGACTGTTGATCGACCATTAACCGATGTTGAATTTACTTAAAAACCTCCATCTTGACATTTTTCGACGTTCTGACTCTGATTTTGTGATCTGTTTTGCCAAATTCTAAACCGAAAGCCCTAAATTGATCCCGTTAATTTGAAAATGCTTAGTATTTTTAGCATTTTTACTTATTTATTTGAGATTTGGTTATGAAATTTATTCGAGAAAATATTTTAATGAATATACTAGTGGTTCACCCGACCGAGGGTTGGTTAGATCCAATACTTTCGATCCATCAGATCCGCTCGATTCACGTTCTTTAAGAGTTACTCATAGGTTTCTGTAAATTGTTTAAATAAATGTTATTATTATTTATATTAGGATTCTAATATGTTTTTTTTTTTCGATTTGTAGAATCTCGCGTTGCCGTTGATCGTGATCGACAGACTCAGTAGTAGGCTTTCTTATCAGACTACTCAGACCGGTACATGTGCGTTTCATGATGGTGTTACATTACTATTTTAAACTATTCATATGAACTGTTTTAGATTTCTGATGATACTAAATATTTTTACGACACGATACCTATTTTTCTTAATACTATTTATCTGATATATGAATTACTGTATATTTTTTATGTGATCTCTGATTGTATCTGAATACCATTTTTACTCGAATTCATACATGTTTATTACTGTCATTGGGGGTATTATTGGAGGACGTATACCAGGCTTAGTCTATGACTTATAAGACCTTACCGCATTCTCCTCTGCTTTATACTCAGGGTAAGTCCTTACCACAAGTCCTTATGCTATATTTATAAGGCCATTACCGAGTGTACAGGTGGGTGTATGGTTTTGAGGAACCTACACATTCTGGTAATCGGATGGGGGTAGTGTTCATATTTTTAAAACATGTTTGATGAACTGATATTTACTGAAGTATTTTATATGTATGGTTTTATACACAGTAAAGAACACACTGGCTTTTTAGCTCATTATGTAAATTTTAACATTTTCAGATAGTAGCATACCATAAACTAGCAGACTTGGCATCAAGAGGAACGACTACTCTTATTTTTGTACCATTGTATATCTCTATATGCCTTTTTGTTATGCCTTGGTGACACGTGTTTTTGCTACCGTCTCGATATATCTGTATTACCAGTATTTTGTTATGTATATATTTTATACGGTTTTCTGATATATATATATATATATATTGAACCTTTCTTGTAACTAATTTCATATTATACTGTTTTATGAAATTTAACATTGTTTTAAATATAAAAGAATTTCTGAATAAGATATGTAACCGCTTAGATTTGGGTATAACGTCCAAGCCAAGTCTAGGGAGTTACAAATTTTTTTTTATTAAAGACTTGAAGAAGCAAACCCAAGACCTAAGTTGTGTGCCTCATTAAAAATCTCCCTACGCCTAATTAGAGAAAAAGAGTATAACACAACTAAGTAATAGTTACACCTCGACAACTGATTTTGCGGATTATCGCAAATTGATAGAGATAAAAAAAACTTAATCCATTGACTGATGGGAAAGAATGGTATACTTAATCCATGAAAATAATAGATAGTTGTTTGTATATTGCAACTATGAAGAGCGTCCAAACAAACTTTTTACCTTCTCCCACCTGATTGATTATAAAGATCATAATCAAGAACAACATAAGGGTAAGGAAAGAAAATTGAAGAGCGTATTAAATACTTTACTATTTCCGGAAGGAAAGAGTATAATAGCAAAAATAGAGACAAAATCATTTAGACGTTGGAGAAAATGCAGAAACATTGAAGAATGTTGCCTGTGATTCAGATGCAACGGCTTTGACAAGCATGACCTTCCCATTACCAGGTGGATTAAAAAGAAGCCGACCAGAAATCAAAGTGCGACAATAATGTTCATTAAACAAATTTCTTAAGCATGAAAATCATCTTCTTGAATGAGATAATTTAGTAAGATTCAACATCTAGGTGACTTTCTAAGCCTAGTAAACAAGTCTCGCCTTCTAGTTGGCAGAATAACCATTTCCATTGATGCTTGCTTAACATTTGCAAACAATAAGAGAAGTTTGTAAGTACAATGCAAGCAAAGGAAAAAAGACAAGCATTAGAAAGCAAAACCAACAAAGGAAAAACATGCCAAGTATCTTACCAACATCGTCTCATTTAACAGCAGGTCTTTTATCAACTATTCTCGTATTAATCATGTCAAGTCCTACGTGTCTCTCATGGTCAAATGTTTAAGGCACCACATAAGCATTTCGTTACTGCTGTAACAGCGGTTAACGGTGATTAACTGAGTTGTTATACATCGATAATATTAGTGATCAATTTATTATTTTTGAAACTTTTTAACGACTTGTTAGCGTGGTTTACAAAAAATTTACAACACAATGGAATTGGAAGGCCATATAATCATGAATTTTTTAGACTACTAAGACAGAACCCCATGCACAGCCACAATCTATGTTCAGGCCTAAACCAAAATGAAAAAGAAGGTAAATGGAAGTAGTTGAAAGAAAAAGGAAACAAAAAAGGCAGGGAAATGAGTGCTCCACCACCGCCCTAATCCCAAATGCTATGATCAGTCGGTGATTACCATATAAAAGCCTAAACACAATTGCGGCTAGCAGCGTGTTCTGGACCGCCTACCACATCTCATCATCACTTATATGAAATCCTCGGGCTTTATTTTTTTATTTTATTTTTTTGACAAGGACTAAAGGAGATGTTATGGGTATTTTCATGCATCATCCATTGTTTGCTTAGACTTGGCCACTGCGCTTGCACCACCCTATGTGTCCCACTGCTTACCTTTCACCTTCACTCCTTTGCTTGAAAATATATCATCCAATATAAACCACACAAATAACATTGCTTGCTAGGAACATGCAACACATTTGTACTAGTCCAATGCATATTATATAAATAGGCTAAAGGTTATATTGAGTATTAGTACGGAATTCAACTTCACTGATTGAAGTAAGTGTAAAAGACGGTCAATTTTTTGTTTTGTTTTTGTTTTTGGTGAGATACAGAAACAACTCCGAAGACTAACTAAAGCAAGGCTCATCTCCCTGGAGTAAAAACTCCGGTAATTGCACGAGTTAAGTGATTTTAACAGTAAAAGAATTATTGTTATTTCTTAAAGTTTCGGGTATGAGCACAAAAAATATTAGGAGTATAAATGTTCAATGTCAATTGATTGAGAATTATCTTTAAATAGATACTGTCTTGTATTTTAAAATTTCATTTTGATAATTATTGTTAAATTTTAGACTAAAATTAAAATATAAATAATTAAACCTACCATTCTTGTATATAAAGAATAATAATAAAATCCAGGATCTAATAAACTGTAGCAACAACTTGATTGCAATTCTTAGCTTGGTAACATTTATATATATTATTAGCCAACAAGAGTAGTAGTCGATTAGGACATTTCATTAAAAGACGAAATTGCAATTGCAATTATGAGAAGGACCTCCGTACTCATGACTAAGAATTCAAATTTGACCCGTTTTCTATAGTGGATATGGATTATTACTCCTTATCGAACCATAAAATTATATATATTAATTATTATTTAAATATAGTATATAATGTGATAAATGGAATGACATAAATCACAAATTATTTAAATTTAATTTGATTAAACTTTGGTAAATATTCAATTTGAATAAGCAAATTCAACTCAAATTCTTAACAATTTAAAATGAGATACTTAACATATGATTCAGAAAAATAACGAATTGTAAAAAAATTATATTAAAATTTAAATTTTTAAAGTTAAATTTTTAATATCATTAATATTTATATGTTATTTAAAAATGTAATATAAGATTTTTTAGGTACTTAAGGTTTAAGTTTGAATTCGAGATTGAAGAGAGCTTGAGTTCGAGATTTAATCGAACTAAGTTAAGGATGTTTCTAGAATTTTTTTCGAGTTTGACTCGAATTTAGTTTTTTGATTTTAAATTTAATTCGAATTTTAATTTTTGGTTTCAAGTTTTAGTTAAACTTAACGAATTTTAAAATCATAAATTTTCTAATCGAGTTTATTTTATAAATTGAATCAAGCAAACAATACACAAGACTAGACTCGCCTCACTCAAAGCCCCAACAGTGAAGGCCAAATACTCCGAAAACAACTGTCATCATCTCATCAACGATAAACTTTGGGAAAAGAGGTTTACAATCCGTTAAGAGAAACAAAATTGATACAAGTCATGCGACTCATATGGCAGGGACACAAGTGTATGGTGTTTTCCGAATAGGAAAAGCTAAAAAGAGAAAAGTTTTGAGTTTTAGGATGGATAATAGCAGCATGGCAGATGGCATTCTCACAGATTATGTGGTGGCCATCATTTTCCCGCTTTAGTGGTAGGTCCTAGTTCCTCTCCGACCATCTTGTCTACTTCACTAACTCCATCCTCAACTTGCAGGATTTGGAAAAATGAAAAAGACAACCCCACTTCATCATTTTTCCTTATCAAGGAGTACCACCTTGTATTGCCTAATTCATCTTATAATTTTAACCCACACCACAATGACATGCTATAAAAGCTTAGAAGCCTCGGACTCGGATAGCTTTGCAGGAAGAAGCAAGTCCCAAGTAGTAGAGGATAACAGATGGAGAAGACGACGAAGGTGAAGAAAGGGTGGCTCACGGTTGAGGTCGGACGACCGGATGATGATGACGGCGGACAAGGCTCTCAAAAGTTCCTCATCCCCATATCTTACCTTTACCATCCACTCTTTCAGCAGCTCCTGGACAAGTCTCATGAAGTGTACGACTACGACACCAAGGGGCCTCTAAAGCTGCCGTGCTCCATTGACGAATTCCTTGATATCAGGAGGCGCGTAGACAAGGACTCCATCTCCGATCACCATCACCATCATCCTCATCCTCTCGCCCTGGCGTTTTACCCTTGCTAAAACATTTCATCTTCAATATTCTATTCTTCTCACTTGTTTTTCCCCTTTCTTCGGTGAGGTGCATAGTTTTCTCGTGTTTTCCAACTTGTTGTGACATGTACAACATTTTCTTTTTTTGTAACAAGATGGAGGTTGAAGCTTTGAATTTAGTTATGGCACTACTTAAATACACAGATTGTAGTTTGTTGATACCTATTAAAGATAATTTATTTTACCTACACTATGTATGTATTTATCCGTATCTGAAAGTAAAGTAATTTGGTCAATCTGGTTGGTGCAACCAGCTGAGCTGAGGCAAAAACAAGGAGAAATTAGATATAGAAGGTTGAGTGAGTAGCAACTAGCAAGGAGCGTGGCTACTTAATGAACAGAATAACCTGAGTTATTCACGTCTTCGAGCCTCAAGCTCATTTCAACCAAATTCATAAAGGGCAAATTACATTTAATGTTATTTAATTATAAGTTTGATAATAAACATACCATTTTTCTTTGAGTTAATTGCATCATATGTCCTCAAAGTATGACCCTCATTTTAAATTGGTCACTGATCTTCTACATGTTCCAATTTCATCCCTAAACTATGGCTATCATTTTAAATTAATCCTCAAACTTTTGAACATTTCAATTTCATTCCGGAACTAGGACCTGCATTCCAATTTTTGTTCCAATTTTATCTCAAACTATACGTATATACTAATCATATCCCTTATTAATAAAATCGTTAGATCAAAGTTATATTATTACGTTTCATAAAAAAAAATTATGTTAAACTATGGTTGAAATTAATTACATATTTGGATGAATTTGGGGATAAAATTGGAATATTCAAAAGTTTGGGGTCTAATTTAGTAAGAGGGTCACAATTTAGGGATGAAATTAGAATATTCAAAATTTTAAAGACTAATTTAGAATGAGATTCATAATTTGGAGATGAAATTGAAATATTCAAAAGGTTAAGGATCAATTTAAAATAAGATTATAGTTTGGAAATATACAATGTAATTCCTTTTCTTTTAAGAGGTTACAAATAATTCATTCAATTTTATAAACAATCGTTGAAATATTGGCAAAATCCACGAGATAATGTTCTCGAACTTTTTGTTTCACGAGATAATGCTTTGTACATATTATTTGTTGAGATAGGGTGAATTCTACAGTGACCAAGGAGGTCGCCATGCACTCCGGGCGACCAAGGAGGTCACCATGCACTCCGGGAGACCAAGAAGGTCACCATGCACTCCGGGTGACCAAGGAGTGGATGCATGCATGTGGGAGCTGTGCATGCCGAGCTATGCATGCATGCGGGAGCTGTGCATGGGCCATGCACGTCGAATTGGTGTAGGTCACCATGGAGTCCCGACGACATGGTAGGTCGCCATGGAGTCCCGGTGACCAAGCTCTTGGGAGATTCTGCCCCGCGACCAAGCTTTAACCATCTGCTCCCTCATGCATGCGCTGTATCCATAGCCTCATGCATGCGTTGCATCCATAGCTGCATTATTACAGCGTTAATTTAGCTGCTAAATGCAGCAAATATTGTTGTTCAATTGCAGCCTTTTAATGCTCAATAGTTACACGATTCAATGCTAATATTATTTGCTTCAACAGTCAAATTTAATGACGCTGTCCAACGCTCATTTGCTTTATATAAAGGATATGGGGTTTATGGTAGAAGTATAAGCAGAATCAGAAGCATAAGCACATATAAACTTTGCCGAGAGAAAGAAAAGGAAGAAGAAGAAAAGAAGATAAAGGCTCAAACATAGTTCGTGAGGTAATTTTTTATTGTTTAATTTAGTTTATTATATGAAATTATTAGTTTGTTAGTTTAGGGTTTAGGGGTAAAACTAAAATTTAGTTAATTAGTTTGTTAGTATAAATTATTAGTTTGTTAGTTTAAGTTATATTATATTAGTTTGTTAGTTTAAGTTATATATTATATTATATAAAAAATTAGTTAATTAGTTTCTTAGTTTAAGTTATTAAATATATAAAAAATATTTAATTAATTTGTTAGTGTCTTTAAACGTATATTATGTTGTTCGTTGAAGTTGAAGTTATATTATAAAAACAATTAATTAGTGCTTAATTAGTTTGTTATTTTAACTAAGTTATATTATAATAAAGAAATAGTTTATTAGTTTAAGTTATATTATAATATATTAGATTATATAAAATTAATTTGTTTAATTTATTGTTGTTTAAATAAATATTTTGTTTACACATACACGACATTATTCCACAACATTTGCCCACGTACAGATTGATTCGAAGAAAGAAACAAGAAAGGAAAGGAAAGGAAAGGAAAGGAAAGGAAGAAGGCATAAATACATGGGTAATTTATTATTTTTTGTTGTCCATTTTTTGTTGTTGTGTATGTGTAAATTAGTTAGTTAGTAAGTTTATATTAGATTATATAAACTAATTTGTGCGAGATAATTTCCGTTTAAAAAATTATTGTGTTTAAAAATATTTAGTGTTGTTTTAAAAAAATATTTTGTTTAATTTATATTGTATGTGTAAATTAGTAAGGAGTAAAAATTAATTGAATAAAATAATTCGGCCAACGCATTATCTCGCGAAATAATTCTTTCGAGAACATTATCTCGACAGTTTTGCCTAACAAATTTGTTTGATATTTTAAAAAAATAAAAAATATTATCAAACTAATCATTATTATTAGTAATCATTACTAAATGATTAGTATCAAATATAATTCATTAAATATTTATAATAAATAATTATTAGTAATCATGACTAAATCATATTATTATTAAATCATTAAATATCAAATCATTAGATTAATAATAATTATTAAATCATTATTAGTAATATTAATAATCAATCAATCAAGTTAAATAACAAATTTTATTTGATCGTTAATATTATATTATATTATATTATATTTAATGATTTAATGATTTATGAAATTATCTTATCTAATTTTTTAATCTAAAATAATTTATTTTTTTATTTGTAGAGAAAATGAGCAACAATTTTTTCACGATTGTCCATTATAATGGACATATTATGGAAAATGAGGTCGGAGTAGTTTTCAGTCTGAAAAACTAATATAAATATGATGTTCAAAAAAGACATCACACTTATAGAAATGAATCATAAGATAGAAAGAAAAATTCGAACTGCAGTTGATGGTTTGAGGTATAGGTTTATGATATGCCCTAACCCAATTAGATATGCTGCAGTTCCACTTGAAGAAGATGATGATATTGGAACCATGGTTGGATTACATGAGTAAACCAATATAGCAATTATTGAGTTATTTGTTGATGTGCGTAACATATGTGATGTTCCTGGGTTATCAAGAGGTGTGGCTCAAAATCCATCTGAAATGGCTTTATATAGTCAGTTTGAGGAGCCGACATACAGGTTCCCGAACAATTTTATGGCACTATTGGAAAGTGTAAATGAAGTCGGGGGGACATCTGCAGTAGCAGAGTATGAGACGAGAAACATACCGGAATTGGTTGTTGATATTGATGCTGAAAATCGATGGGGAGAAATTCATGATGATTCAAGCAAAGATGAAGAAACCGAAGAACCCGTTTTGGGCGACGATGAAAATATTTTAGGTGGAGGTGCAATTGATGAAGTTCCGGCACCGTATGAAGTTACTCCTCACATGTACGAGATAGACTATGATGCAATGAGGGCACCTGAATTCCCAAACATGTCACATTTACCTCTGTACCAAATGACTGAATCATTCGATAGTTCTGGTGAATTTTCAGTTGGGGTACAATTCAGAGGAAAAAAATGAAGCTACACTGGCGATTAAAGAGTACTGCATCAAATGCCATATTGATGTCTATGTTGCAGAGTCTAACCAGAAAACCCTATACGCGAAGTGTGTAAAATATGGCCCAGAGTGCAAGTGGATGATCAGAGTGTTGAAAAATCAAAGGCACGATGTTTGGGTCATCACGAGGTACAATGGTCCGCACACATGTTTGCGAAACTCCATCGAACAAGACCACCGACTGTTGGACTCCGATGTAATATGCGAATACGTGAAGCCGATGGTTGAAAAGGATCCAAGGATATATTGTTCAGTGTTAGCTGCATCTATTCGAAGCCAATTTGGATATCAAGTAAAATATGGCAAGGTGTGGAATGCGAAGATGAAGGCAATGAAGCTGATGTATGGAGATTGGGATACATCGTACAATGAGCTACCACATTTGCTACAAGCAATAAAGCGATTTATCCCAGGAACCATAGTGAAGTCTCAAACCATGCCCACATATGACGAAGAAGGTCAACTTCTGCCAGGGAAGAAAATATTTCATAGACTATTTTTGGCATTCAAGACATGTATTGAAGGATTTCCATTTTGCAAACGTATGATCCAAGTAGATGGTACGTGGTTGTATGTTCAATATAGACATGTATCAAGATGGTGAGCAAAATATCTTCCCAATTGCATTCTCCATTGTTGAGGGAGAGACAACAGAGGCTTGGGATTTATTTCTGACCAATCTACGTCAATATGTCGTTCGTGAAGATGGAGTTTGCTTGATATCCGATAGAGGAACGGGTATTTTGGGGGAAATTGAACGACCAAGAAGTCGTTGGATACCTTCTTATGCATATCCGACAATTTGTATCTGTCATATTGGCAAGAATAGTATCGACCAATTTCTTAACACACACATTCGTAGCGAGATAGTCAGCATGGGTAAGTTTTATTTTCAATATTTGTGCATTTTTTACGTGGTTTTTTTAATTGCGGTTTAACACAATATATTATGAAACAGGAAACGAACTACGTCGACTAAATTTTGACAAGAGATTGGAGAATTTGAAGGTATTTTACGATGATCAGCATGTTTGGAAGTGGGCTTCAAAAATACCGCGGGAAAAATGGTCGCAAGCATATGATGAAGGTCGGAGATACATCTATATGACCACAAACCTTGCTGAGGCCATTAATTCGGTACTAAAAGGTACACGCCATCTCTCAATAACGAGTGTGATGAAAGAGACGTACTTTAGATTGGCTAAAGTTTGGTCGGACAAAGGCAAGGAAATTGAGAGTCTCATAAATAGAGGTAAAACTTGGGCTCCTACAGTGGTGGAATCAATGGAAGCAAATGAACGATTGG